TTTATTCCTTTTCACTGCGTCTCTTATGTTTTTAAAGGCAATCTGTGTGAATGGTGATTCGGCTATGCATAAATTCGTGATGCTGTTTTGCTCATAATTTGTTTATGCAATTTACGAAATTATATTTGATTTATATGAGTTACAGTTTTTTCCCCCATTTTGTTTTTTAATCAAATAAATGCAACCTTGGAGAGCAAAAAAGTATATAAAAAAAAAACTGTATATTAAATAGTCATGAGTTGATGTAAATTTGCAATAAATAAAGTCCTATACAAAGATGTTGCATCTCATTTGGTTCTTTTCAATAATGGACTAAATCTAAAAGAACAATATAACGATGATTCAGAAGAAATGTCAAAACAGCTTGTCATAATGAAACACTTGAGCTGAAAGCTGAAGCAGAAGCAGCTGAAGGTGGTTTACTTTCTGACAGAAGTATTTGTGCGTCTCTGACCTCGTGCAGATACGCTTCCATCTCCGCCAGGGATTTTCCTAAATGTCTCTCTGGATCCAGGCCTGCCAGACACACAACACAAGAGCTGATCAGTGACAGAGACTCATGTACACAGAGCTTCAGCGTCTGAGAGCTGCAGGTCAACATGCATCTGTCTGAAAAGAGCTCAGCATGTCATTAGAAATGCATCATGAATGCACTGCCACCTGGTTATGATCTGCCTCTCTCTGTAAACAAGTCTTTATATCCATCCTTCATAAACAAACACACGGGCTATTCATATCATGACCAACTGCAACACACAGACATAATCAACAAACAAACATAATCAAACGCAGAGCATCCACAGGACAGACTCAAACACATAAGGAACTTTCCATGAGTAGAGTAATATGCTTTCCTACCATGGTGTGTTTTTTTTAGCGAATGATCACTGCAAGAAGCTGCTGATCCTTCAGAAAATGATCTTCAACCTCAAGCAAACTAAGGCTAAACTTATTATATCAGACGGTTTATTTTAAACCTCTGCAGTTACCAAAATGCAGTGTGTAATACCAAAATTTGAGAAATTACTAAATGCAGTAAATATATGATTTATACATAAAATGTATAAAATATTAGTAGTTAAAAACCAAATGTTTGAGGTTACTGATAAACTTAAATTTCCCACCAATTAAAGAAAAATACATACAGTAAATTCATATACAGTAAAGCAATACATGCTATATGTGATCCTGGACCACAACACCAGTCATAAGGGTAAATCTTTTTAAATTAAGATTTATACATCATATAAAAGCTGATTAAATAAGCTTTCCATTGATGTAAGGTTAATTGATCATCCGCCTCATCATAGCAGCCTTCACCATCACCGACTGCATGCTTCCTCGTCAGATCCACCAAGCTACACGAGTCATGTCTGATAGTATTCAATATATAAGCTTTATAAGAAATAAGCTTACCATTGATGTATGGTTTGTTAGGATCTGACAATATTTGGCTGAGATACAACTATTTGAAAATCTGGAATCTGAGGGTGCAAAAAAATCTAAATATTGAGAAAATCATCTTTAAAGTTGTCCAAATGAAGTTTTTAGCAATGCATATTACTAATCAAACATTAAGTTTTGATATATTTACGGTAGGAAATGTACAAAATATCTTCATGAAACATGATCTTTACTTAATATCCTAATGATTTTTGGCATAAAAGAAAAATGTATAATTTTGACCCATACAATGTATTGTTGGTTATTGCTACAAATATACCCCAGCGACTTAACACTGCTTTTGTGCTGCAGGGTCACATGATACAGCAAATCTTGTCTGCATGATTATATTGTCACAAAATGTGCCAGGGTTATTTTAGTATCATTGAGATACTACTATAGTTTTATTAATATTTTGAATTACTTTTATTATTTTTATTTATTTTAAATTTTCTGTTTCCATTTTAATTTTAGTTAAAATATTTTGTTGTGTTTTTGTCATTTTTCTTATTTTTTAAGCCCATATAATTTTCATCAATTTTTATTTCAGTTTTAATTTTAGTTATTTTAGTATTTTAGTTAGGCAATTAGTTTTTTTAGCTGCAATCTGCTGAATGTGGCTATAAGGCATGAAGATATTAGGATATTGTAAACATTAACATCATGATTTTCAGTAAAGCTGCTTTCAAACAGTGCGCATTGTGAAAAGCACTATACAGCTTTTAGTTTTAAATACCAACACCATTGGTAATAAAGTACACTGGTTGAACTGAATTCAATGAATGCAGTCCACAATTATTGTAAAAATGAGGAAAAAAATAATTAGACCAACCTTCCATACTATATGAATATATTTTCTATTTTGGCATATGTCAGTATTTTATGGAAAGCTACTGTTTGAATATGAGTCCATCGTACAGAAACAGAGCTGCATGCAAAAAGTGGGCCAGTGCTGAAGATTACTTTTTTTTTGTTCATTAAAATATTTTATACAATGAACTGACTATCTATTCTACAAAATGATGACACTGCAAAATGATGAATCAGTAGATCAGGGATTCTTTTGGGTTTTTTCAGCCGAACTCCTTTTGAGGCACAATATTTACTTGAAATTAGATTTTAGGTTAATATTTCAATCATTTAACAACACATTTACATGTTCACAGTTTTCTGATGTCATAACATGAAGGTGAACAAATATTTTATATTTTTTAGTATTCTATTTTGATTGTTTTTATTTTATATTTATTAAATTTTTTAAATTTTAGTTCTCTCACAAATCAGTTTGGGAAACTCTGCAACAGAACAGAGGACTCACACCTTTATTGGTTTTAAAAATATACTATAAAATCAATCTTTACCCTGTTTGTGGAAAGTGCCATAAAGTAGCCAACCCCTGCAAAATACTACAACCCTTGTACAAACATCTCCAGTCTATCAAGGGGTTAAACTCTTACCACTTCTCACTACAAACCACAACAACCCAACATAACACAAACCCATATTTTCCCTGCCTCTCATGATTGGCGCCTACCGCTAGAGCGAACCGCCGTGTGGTGAAAGGCTTGCTCTTCCTGCCTAACCTCAGAGGTCAAGGGTCCAAACCACAAGCCCTGAGGGAAAGCTGAACTTTAGACGGTGTGTTTTCAGACCAGCATGCTGGAGCGGCGAGCTGCACTCGGATGCCGCTGATCTGCAGGGGATCAATGAGAACGAGAGCGGCCCCATTACCCGCCCCTGGGGAACACCGCTCATAATTAGTGTGAGAATATCTAATCTCCTCTCCTCTCATGTTAACCCCACACAAAGGTAACAGGGAGAAAGAACACCATTAAAATTCAATCCTATTTAAATATCCTTTTTAATTAGTCATGCCTTTTAAACAAATCCTAAAGATTGATTTCAAACTGCTAAGAGAGAGTCTGTTTTATAATATGTTCATTAATGTCTTGATTTTAAATAAAGGATGAAGCACAGCATAATTTGATAGCTTGGATGCAAGAAGAATATATGCAAATAAAATAAAAAAGCTGTATCGTGTATCTGGGTGTGTCTCATTCCACTCCCTAGTTCCCTTTAAAGCGAATCAGTGTACGGTGAACCTGAATCAAGGCAAAAGCATAATTAGAATGTTGGTATTTATTTATTGTGATTAATTATAGAAAATATAATGCACCTGCCTAGACCTGTATGTCATCTTACGATGCACGATGCAGGACAACGCAAAACTGTTGTGAGTCTCCGAGCAACACAGCGGTGATTTACTGAATGAATCTGCGGTTTTAAATGAATCAAGTGAAACAATGATTCCGTGACTCATTCATAAAGACAGTCGCTTGCTTCATTTTTGAACAAATCAGTTGTTTGAATGGATTGGTTAAATAAATTATTCAATGACTCAGTGTCTTGCTGCCACCTACTGGCGCATTTAGTTTCATTTTATTAAAAAAAAAAATGTCTTATTTCAATATTCATTTAAAAAACTTTTATAACCATTCATTATCATTATTTATGCAATGCTGAATCAAACTATTTGTTTCCAAAGCTACTTTCTGTAATGTCTATTCAATGCTTTTCTCATCTAACACAATGTCTTTAATTGATCTTTTGGGGGTAATTGATGTGCAGTTAATTTGCGATTAATTTGGTTAATTAATTGGCACATCACATAATTTATTAGATTAAACATTTTAAACGCTTGACAGCCCTTGGATTTATCACTGTATTGTGCATCGTCATTGTTCATGTTAAAGATTTCTGTGCCATTGCTGACATACCGAACATCTGAAACCAAGTGAATATAGCAGATCTGGACCAACTACGTCCATGCAGGCCTAAAATATTCAGACAGCCAAGACTAGCCGCAGTCATGCGCTCTCTTTTACATGAGCTGCACGATGTTCATTCATCTGCACCTGTTTTACTACCTGACCTAAAGCTAATTACCTCAGCCCCTTATGGCACATTAAACACAAATAAGCCCAGTCCAAGCTCCATTCATCTGCCTGCGTGTCAATCCTTGCTGCCCTTTAGACAAGCAGAGTCCAAGCAGGGCCCCAAGGAGCGATATGCCTGCAAAAAGTCTTTAACTTATTATTATCCTATAAAACTGAAATTCAATCCAGTCAACTTCCAAGCCAGTGAACTGGGCACAAATGGATTTTCAAGTTTTGCATTAGATTTCATGAGCTTCAAATTAGAGCAAATTCTTTTTAGGTCACTAGTTCTTACTATACTGCCAGAGATGTGAAGGTCTGTTTTGCTTCGATATCATGTCTTCTTTCAGACTAGCGGAAAGAAAACATCCAAAATACACATTTAAGTGTCTATTCTACTGCACTTTATCTATTTGCGTCTAAAGATTTTAATTCAGTCCAATCAATCTTTAAAGAGTTTGTTTCTCCACTTCAGCAGCACTTGCATACACCAAACTTTACAGTTTTGTTCCTAACTATACTCTGAAGGCTTTTACTGAGGGTTTTTATGTTCATATATCATTCACACTGATTTATACTCCTAAAAACATGCTGAAAAACTATTGTTTTTCTAGCATGTTAAAAAATAAATTTAAAACCTCGTCTGGAAAATCTCTAATAGGTCAACAAAACCAAACAGGAATTTTGAGCCTGGCTTTATCCAATGTTCAGATATCTGTTCTGGAGATTTATGCAAATGAGTGCATACTGAATTTTTTATATTTAAACATAACATTTCAGAAAGCATGTAAAATAATTGTCTTAACATACAATAATTAACAGGTCATGTTTAAAACGGACAGATCATTGCTTACTCGCTCTCGTGTTTTTGTTTTTGTGTTTCTGTTCAGTCTGTCATTGTATAGAATCAGAATCAGAATTAGAAAGAGCTTTATTGCCAAGTATGTTTGCACATACAAGGAATTTGTTATAGTGTCACAAGCTTCCAGTACACGGAGACAACAACAACACACAGATAATAAAATAAGATGTGAATAAAATACACATGCATAAATACAAACCACAAAAAAAGAATAAATTGTGAAAAGAGCAACTGGGATGTTCTAAAAAAAATTCTCCTTTCGGGTTTCATTGAAG